TGTGTGTGTGTGTGTGTGTGTGTGTGTGTGTGTGTGTCACAGCAGAGACACATGCTGCCTGTTCAGTCACACTTCCAGACTTTTTCCGGCCTGCTCTGAGCTTCTGGGACAGGTTTTGTTCTGTTTCTGTGTGGACAGGTCCGGAGCACAGCCTGTGGATTCTGCTCTGTGATACATACGATGTGATTTCTGGACTTTTTTGGGGGATTTTATCTTTATTTTTTCTCACTGGGCATCTCGTCTCTCTCAGGTTTGAGAGAATTCTGCTTTCATCTGTCCGTCTTCAACATGGCAGAGGAAATCCTCAACTTTCCCTTCCCAGATTTATACGAGCTGGAGAATAAAATCGGAAGGAAAACCCCAGAAAGTCTTCTGACGTGGATGAAGGATGCTACAGGGTGTGAGGACACCAGGAGCTCAGATGGCAGCTTTCACTTCAGCAGCAGTTTATCAGAGAAACTCTCTGAATTAAAACAAGAGATGGTAAAGTTTCTGTTTGTTTTTTTTTAATACGCAGCTTTCATTTCCTAATTTCTTATCTGTCTCTTCATCTGCTGCCAAGCTAACAACTTGCTGAACTTGTTTCTGGAATGACTGCCTTGAACTTCAGGAATATCTCTTGAGTTCCTCTTTGGGCAGCTTCATCTGTTCAGTAGTGTTTAATGCCACTCCTCTCATCTGTCTCCACTCTTTACTCTGCTCCGTCTGACAGCATTCTTTCTTCACTCCTCCTCTCTCTGCTGATCTCTTCCTTCATGCTGAATAAGCAAACTGAGCCATAGCTCACTGGGCTACTAATGCTGAAGTATAAGATGAAAAAATTGTGAGGAAAAATAACATTTTTCACTTGGAGTCACAATGTATTGGTATTTATTTACATCATGTGGCACCAAGTTTAAAATACAACTTTTTAAAAATATCATTATTTAGCTCATTTTCTGAGTGTAAAAATGTTTTCACTGACATTTTATTGTTATTTAGCTGACTAATTTTTTTTACTAATTGTTAATTTAAACTTTAAATAATATATGTAAATAATCATACCTAAATCTAAATTTTGATGTTGCAGCTAAATAATAAAACTTACAATTAAGATTTTCTGAAAGAAAGCAGCCTTGTGTGATGTCATCATCCTAAGACAAAAGTAAACGCTAACACTGCTAACTCTGCTAACTCTGCTAACTCAGCTAACTTGGCTAACTCTGGTGTTTTGACTTTAAATCCAAAATGTCTTCATGAAAAACAAAATGGATGGTACCTGTGGTCCGGCAGTTTGAAGTGCAGTTCAGACACCAGACACAACTACAAGTTTGATATCTTGTAGGGAGGTGTTAGCATTGTTAGCATTGTTAGCAGTGTTAGCAATGCTAGCAGTTGCTATTGTCTCATGACGACATCCGAACAAGAGCTGAGCACCAACAGCAAAGGATGCATTTCCTTTCGAAATACCGCAATGTAAACTTCAACATTTAACTACAACATTTGAAATTTAACTTTTATGTTTAGATTTACACATTTAAATTGATTAATTAATTAAATATGATATTTAGTAAAAAAAATTAGTAAAATGCAAGAGCAGTGAGCTAAATAATAAAATGTTTGTGGAAAATTTTTTACAACAATTTTACACTTAGAAAGTGAACTAAATAATGAAAATCTGTTAGTGACATTGTTTTACTGTTTATTTTACACTTGGCCTCCCATACTTTATGTATTATGTAACTGTGAATGAGTTGTAATTCTTGCACAACATTCCTCTGAACAATGTTTTGTTGCTTAGCCACAAAGTTAGTTAGGTTTCATTATTCTTTTTTGTAACAATTTAGTTTTCTAGATTGCCAAAGTTGTCTCCTATTTCCACAAATTCCTGTATTCTGACCTTTGGAAATCTAGAAAATTCACAGGAAATGTATATTATTCTCACACAACAGTAACAACAGCAGGAATATTACGTTGACTGTAGATTTATACAAGTGAAAAATAAACAGCCCAATTAAGAAATAGCTGGCTGTAATAATATGAAGATAAGAATTTAAAGCCTTAGGTGAGTTTAATAAAGTGAATCATTACCATAGTTTAACTCAAGATTCATGAATAAAAATAGCCCTCACCACACAGCTGAAACACAACAAAACACCACTTATTTCCTGATTTTTTTCATATGTATTTATATGAAAACAACATCTACAGAAGCAGGATATCAATGATTTTTCACTTACTTTTGAAGAATATGTCCTCCTTCATGACCCAATTCATAATTCAAAGTCCAAAGCCGCACAAACGCTGTTAATAATGATACTAATAATGATAATAATAATACATTTTATCTGAAGGCACACTGTGCAATTAAAATACAATATATAATGCACTAAAACTCAAACAGGAATAAGACAACAAATGAAGAAAAAACACATCATTCATAACATATTGTTAAATAGAGGTGATGAGAGATGGAGGTTACTTTGAAAATGCCTGCTTGAAAATAACAGTTTTAATCCATTATTTTAAAAAACATGGCTGAGTGACCAAACACCTTTGAGCCTGTTAAATGAGTTGGGTGGAGGAGGAGGACCTGAGAGTGTAGGTGGGTGTTTTAAGAGGTTATTGATGGCTTTGAAGGTGAGGAGCAACATTTTATAGGAGATGCAAAAATTGATGGGGAGCCAGTGAAGATATTTGAGGAAAGGACTGGTGGAATGGGGTTCTGGAAATAATCCCAGCAGCTGAGTTTTGGACCAGTTGGAGTTCATGGATGGATTTGCTAGTAAACAAAAAAAGGGAGTTGCAATGATCTAGATGTGATGTGATCAAAGAGTGAATCAGAATATCAGTATTGTTGGGTGAGAGAGCTAGATGGAGATGGGCGATGTTACAGAGGTGAATGTTGGCTGAATTAGTGATGGTACTGATATGCGATTTAAATGATGTTGTCTAGGATTACACCAGACTCCTAACCTGAGGGACTGGAGAAACTGAGGAGCTGTCGATAAACAGTAAGTAAAGTAAGTAAAGTAAAGTTTTATTTATAAAGCACCTTTCACAGAAATAAATTCACAAGGTGCTGTACATTCAGGGAAGGGGTCAGTTAAGAAACACCCATTCAAGAAGACATACAAGACAAACATGGGGGAACAGGTGAAACCGGTCATGCAGCAAACACAGCTGCGCTATCTTTAGCAACAGCTTGAAATACACAAAAGGAAAATTGAGTTAAACAACC